GTAGGGATTTGAGTTCGTTTGACTCTGTTTCTTTGAGGTTCTACACCGAAATTCATCCCTAAGTCTAAATCCGAACCTGGATTTGGAATTGGAAGGGCGCTGGACGGCCTAAAATCCAAGAAACGATAATCTCTTTCGCAGATTTACTGTTCATCATTGTCATTACTCCGTGTTTTTTTATTCGTACCTGGATGGCGAAATAGAAGCAGGGGACTGGGGATACATCTACGGCGAGTACCACCAGGTAGTCATCCATGTTCGGTGTGCTGGAAGAGGTGCTCCCTACACTCAAATCTGAAATTTTGCACTTCGGAGCTTTAGGATTGAATTTAAGACAAGAAAGGAACGGCCCAAATTAAAAGAAGGTATAGAGTAAGGTTTTTTACATAATTTTTGTCCACTTAGATGATTAATTTTTTTTGCCTAAGTATCACTATTCAATTTTGACATTGTTATTTCAGAAATTAAGGACACTTGATTGTTTTTTTAAAAATATGTTGTATATCTGTGACACATTCTGAGATAGTGTCACTAGACAAGTGTCACTATAAGACAGTTTTCTAGTAGTGTTTTAGAGCTAAAACGTGTATGGATTCGTGTGAAATCGTGCAAGAACGTGTGTTGTTGCAAACCACCTGCCAGCCTTTATATAGGAGGATTTGTGTTAGAAAAATGATATTAAAATTGCGAGTTTAGCCAGATAAAAATCCCGAGTTTAAATCAAATCACCAGACAAACCGCCAAATGCAAGAAAAGAAAATAATAATAATAATTAGAATGAATTGAAATGAAATAATAGTAAAGATAAGAAAGCTTATCGCAGGATCGCCCGTTAAAACGGACTGGCCTTGAAGAAAGATAGCCCCCGTATCCCGATAGCTATTCGGACGGGTCTGACTAGCTCGCTCCCAGGATAATCCTACCACGTTTCAGGCTCGTAGCTACCTTGACTGAAACCTTCGAACGTTGCCAAATTTGCCAATTATAGAGATAGAACTTGGAATGAAAGAACAAAAGACTGCTACCCGAATAGAAATTTGGTTTGCACTCAAAACCAATCAACACTTTAGAAAAAGAAATGATTAATTAGAAGAATGAAAGGGGTGAGTGCTTCTTTTTCTATTACTGCTTAGTTGAAGCGTTTGGGGAAAGAGAAAAAGAAACTAGCAGTGAGTGCTTTTGCTTATTCTTTGTACGTATGGACTCTGGAGATTGATCAGCGCACAATGTCACTTCTGGAATCAGAACAACAATATAAACACATGCAAAATGGAAGTAACGGTTGTTTCATTGATCACAATTGTTAATGATCCCTAACAACTCTTGACCAAGCTATTATCAACCCCCTCGGTAATTCAAATTCAAGTTTGAAACTTCCGAATGAAGCTTAAAATCCATCAATTTTATTATCGTTACAGTCAAAGATAATAAAACATTTCAAAATTGTTGTCCACAAATTAAATGGCCTTTTAACTTGATATATTTTCCCACACTTTTAGATCATCCCGAGCAGACCTGAACGTATGGACTAATATTTCAAGCTACCATATGTGATACTTGAATGATATTCCTTATCACATAATATTTTATTAATAGACCATCTATTTATGATATAGGACAATAATTTACCATTTTGACATTTCACTTTACAACTTTTACAACTATGGATTCTAATCACCAAATGAAATATATCCAAGTGTATAAGTTGTACTTTGATAATAAGTCACTCCCATTACATATTTTATATTAAGAATATATCCTAGGACCCAAAAAAGAGACCACTCAAAATAATTTTTCATCATATTTCCAACAATCCCCCACAAATCCATAGTTGTAGACTCAACTCTAAAACACATAGTGTGCTTTCGAATATGGTACCTTCCGGTTTGAACCATCTTCTAAGCTCTTATCCCTAACCCCCACAGGAACTGAGTGAACAGAGTTCTTGAACTCGAACCTTGATTGTGTTGGCATGGAATAAAAGCAACACACTAACGGCAATGGCAACGATCTATAGGGGTGACGCTTTTACGACCATGCGTCCTGATCCTGTCTCAAGAATGTCATCAAGAATTAACCCTTATTCTCTTATTGCGGCCACACAATAACATTCTCATAGTTGGGCATCTCCAATGGTGCATTGCTAACACCCCGCTATTAAAGCTTGATCCCATTCAGAGTCTTTAACTCTTACTAACTTAGCAATTTCAGCATCTCTAAGGCTTATCAAGGAAAAGAACTCATAAGATTATTTTAATGAGATGCACAATTCACTCTACGGTTTGTTTATACCGCATTGAACCTACTTTGTGGGATCTCCACTCATATAGGTTGGGTTGCTACCGTAGATGAATAATTATTGGGTTTCAGTCACATTCCTAACCTTGATTTTATCACTTGATTTAGATCAAGTCCTTTTGTTAACGGGTCCGCTGTATTATCTTTGGATCCAACAAAATCAACAGCAAACACCCCTTGAGACACGAATTTCCTTATAGTTTTTAATCTAACTTGAATGTGTCTCCCAGTCTTTTGATTATACTTGGTACTCCTAATTTTTGCAATTGTACTCATACTATCACAATGCAAACAAATAGGTGGAATTGGCTTGCTGAATATAGGTAACTCGGACATCAGTCCCTTAAACCATTCAGCCATAATTCCTGTAGTGTCCAACGCACATAATTCAGCCTCAAAAGTAGACCGAGAAAGTACAGTTTGTTTAGTGGACTTCCAGGCAACAGCCCCACCACCAAACGTAAACACATAGCCGGTACACCCATAACTCCCGGAGTTCTTAGCTATCCAGCTTGCATCACTATATCCTTAAAGAACAGGAGGATATTTACCATAATACAAACATAAGGAAATAGTTCCTTTCAAGTATCTAAATACTCTATCTAAAGCCTCCCAATGAGTTCTATTTGGACAGCAAGTGTACCGACTAAGTTTAGACACTGAAAATGCAATATCAGGTCTAGTACAGTTAGCTAAGTAACCCAAGCTACCAATCATCTGAGAATATTTTAATTGAGACACAGGAACACCACTTTCATTTTTATACAAAACTACAGAAGGATCATAGGGTGTTTTAGCAATTCTACTATTTTTAAATCCAAATTTCTCAATTAATTTTTCAATATAATGAGACTGAGAAATAGAAATGCTTTCGGTTGATCTAGTCAACTTTAGCCCAAGAATTACTTCCGCCACCCCCATATCCTTCATTTCAAACTTTGTTTTTAAGAATGACTTAGTCTCAAAAATAATATTATCATTAGTGCCAAATAATAATATATCATCAACATATAGGCATAAAATAATACTTACATCACCTTTACATTTACAATAAACACTTTGATCAGCATCTATAAGGGTAAATCCAAATGAAGAAATTATTTTATCAAATTTTTCGTTCCATTGCTTAGGGGCTTGCTTAAGTCCATATAAAGACTTAACTAATTTACAAACTTTTCTCTCATTGCCTTTTGCCACAAATCCCTCAGGCTGATCCATATAAATTTCTTCTTCAAGGTCACCATGAAGAAAAGCTGTCTTAACATCCATTTGATGAATTTTAAGACCATATACGGATGCCACTGCTATAAGCATTCTTATTGTGGTCATTCTTGCAACCGGAGCATATGTATCAAAAAAATCAATACCTTCTTTTTGTTTATAACCCTTAGCAACTAATCTGGCCTTATATTTATCAATGGTTCCATCTGGTTTTAGCTTCTTTTTAAAAATCCATTTACATCCAATAGTAGTACACCCGGGAGGAAGATCAACAAGCTCCCATGTTCCATTTTGAACAATGGAGTCCATTTCACTTTTAATTGCATCCTTCCAATACATGGCCTCAGACGTGGCCATTGCATCTCTAAAGGAAATTGGATCACCCTCAATATTGTAAGTGATAAAATCACTTCCAAAATCCTTAGTGATTCTAGCTCGTTTGCTCCTTCTCGGTTCATCTAGATCATTTGATTCAAAATCAATATGACTAGAACTACCAGATTCTACCCCCACATTTGTCATCTTTTCCACTTGATCAGGAATTGAATTAACTGTGGTTTCTTGATTTTCAAAAGAAGTATTTTGGGGCACACCCGTTTTCATTGGAAAAACATCTTCAAAGAAAGTAGCATCACGAAGTTCTACAATAGTATTAACATCTATGCCAGAAATTTCAGATTTAATAACCAAAAATTTCAATGCATAAGAATGTTCAACATAACCAATAAAAATAGCATCAACAGTTTTAGGCCCAAGTTTCTTTCTTTTGTGTTCAGGGACTAACACTTTTGCAAGACAGCCCCACACTTTAAAATATTTCAAACTTGGTTTTCTGCCTGTCAAGAGTTCAAATGGACACTTATCTTTATGTTTCATAGGAATCCTATTCAAAATATGGCAGGCCGTATTCAAGGCTTCCCCCCACATAAACTTAGGTAATCCAGAATTCTCTAATAAACTGTTAATCATATCTTTAAAAGTTCTATTTTTCCGTTCAGCTACTCCATTTGATTGTGGTGAATAAGGAGGTGTTTCCTCATGTACTATACCATATTTTTGGCATTCCAGTACAACTAAATTAGAAGTATACTCTCCTCCCCTATCAGACCTTAACCTTTTAATTTTCTTGCCAGTTTGATTCTCTATTTCATTCTTAAAAATTAAGAATTTTTCAAGAGCTTCATCTTTACCCTTAAGTAGATACACATAACAGTATTTAGAATAATCGTCAATAAAAGTGATAAAATATTTTTTCTTATCACGTGTAAGCACTCCATTAAACTCACAAATGTCGGTATGAACTAAATCAAGTAATTCTGAATTTCTATCAATTGAATGATATGGTTTTCTTACTTGTTTAGTAGTAGCACATACCATACATTTCTTAGTTTTATCAATAGAGTGCTTAGGAATTAAATTTAAATTCATCATTCTTTTCACAGAATCTAAATTAACGTGACCCAAACGATAATGCCATAAAGTTGAAGAATCACAATTCTCAGATACATAATTTAATTCTAAATAATCAACCATAACTTTAAAAAGTCCATCAGACAAGTAACCCTTGCCAATAAAAGTTCCACCAAATAAAATTACAACTTTATTTAATTTAAAAGACAACTCATAACCCTCCCTAACTAGAATGGAACCACTAACAATGTTCCTTCTAATTTCGGGAACGTGATGCACTCCATGCAAAGATAGAATTTTTCCCGAAGGGAATTTTATTTCTACTTTTCCAATTCCTTGCACACTTGCAGCACTTGTGTTCCCCATCATCACTGTTCTCCCAACCGCAGGCTGATAAGAAACAAAGAGCGATTTGTCAGCACATACATGCACATTCGCTCCTGTATCTATTAGCCACTCATTGGAATTATAAATAGTGAAAATTTGAGGATTAATAGAAACGTACCCATTAGAACTAGTCCCTCTAGTCACCATGTTGACTTTAGGTCCCCCAGATTGAGCCTTGGCCTTTTTATTTGGACATAATTTGGCCCAATGCCCCATCTGTCCACAGTTCCAGCATGGTCGGTTTGCCTTTGGTTTCTTTACAATTTTTAATTTGGCCTTTATTGGTTTAAAAGATGATGGTTGCTTATTTTTAGAGTTATGTGCTTGCTTTCCCCCAGTTATAACATGAGCCTTCGGTTGAAATTCAACAGGCGCAATATAACCCGCTTTCTTATGTTCCTCCTCAACCGTAATAGAATGCATCAAAGATTTCCAAGTGATCTTTTTCATTTTATGTTTTAAAGTCATACCAAAATCTTCCCATGATTTGGGAAATTTTTCTATGACCGCCATCACTTTAAATTTTTCAGGCAATTCCATGTCCGCTTCACGAAGAGAATGTAAGATAAGCTCAAATTCTTGTGTCTGTTCTAAAACCGATTTTCCTTCTTTCATGTCAAATCGTAGGAATTTAGAAACAATATATTTTTCAAGACCGTGGTCATCAGTATTATATTTTCTATCTAACTCATCCCAAAGGTCTTTGGCCGTCCCATGGAGGGTACAATAGACATCAAATAACATGTCGGATAAACCCATGAGAATCATGCCTTTTGCAATTTCGTCCCTCTCAAGCCAAAGTCCATGACGTTCAAGACTTTTGGGATCAGATTCGACAACCGGAGGACACACTGTCATAATCACTGAAAGCAAGCCCTTGGTGATTAACCAAATTTTCATGCGTTGTTGCCAACGCTTGAAAAAATGCCCAGAAAATTTTTCGGGCATCCCGGTTAAATCCACCCTGTGCGAGCCCGTAGCAATATATTCAGGTGTGCCTTGTAAATTAGTGACAGACACAGAATTATCATTTTCAGGGGCGACAAAAACATGCTCTAAACCAACAGTTTCATTGTTAACAGCATTTTCCAAGTTTGCCATTTTTGGATTTTCCAAAACTCGAGAAATAATATCTTTCTTCAAGATTGTTAGAAAAATGATATTAAAATTGCGAGTTTAGCCAGATAAAAATCCCGAGTTTAAATCAAATCACCAGACAAACCGCCAAATGCAAGAAAAGAAAATAATAATAATAATTAGAATGAATTGAAATGAAATAATAGTAAAGATAAGAAAGCTTATCGCAGGATCGCCCGTTAAAACGGACTGGCCTTGAAGAAAGATAGCCCCCGTATCCCGATAGCTATTCGGACGGGTCTGACTAGCTCGCTCCCAGGATAATCCTACCACGTTTCAGGCTCGTAGCTACCTTGACTGAAACCTTCGAACGTTGCCAAATTTGCCAATTATAGAGATAGAACTTGGAATGAAAGAACAAAAGACTGCTACCCGAATAGAAATTTGGTTTGCACTCAAAACCAATCAACACTTTAGAAAAAGAAATGATTAATTAGAAGAATGAAAGGGGTGAGTGCTTCTTTTTCTATTACTGCTTAGTTGAAGCGTTTGGGGAAAGAGAAAAAGAAACTAGCAGTGAGTGCTTTTGCTTATTCTTTGTACGTATGGACTCTGGAGATTGATCAGCGCACAATGTCACTTCTGGAATCAGAACAACAATATAAACACATGCAAAATGGAAGTAACGGTTGTTTCATTGATCACAATTGTTAATGATCCCTAACAACTCTTGACCAAGCTATTATCAACCCCCTCGGTAATTCAAATTCAAGTTTGAAACTTCCGAATGAAGCTTAAAATCCATCAATTTTATTATCGTTACAGTCAAAGATAATAAAACATTTCAAAATTGTTGTCCACAAATTAAATGGCCTTTTAACTTGATATATTTTCCCACACTTTTAGATCATCCCGAGCAGACCTGAACGTATGGACTAATATTTCAAGCTACCATATGTGATACTTGAATGATATTCCTTATCACATAATATTTTATTAATAGACCATCTATTTATGATATAGGACAATAATTTACCATTTTGACATTTCACTTTACAACTTTTACAACTATGGATTCTAATCACCAAATGAAATATATCCAAGTGTATAAGTTGTACTTTGATAATAAGTCACTCCCATTACATATTTTATATTACGAATATATCCTAGGACCCAAAAAAGAGACCACTCAAAATAATTTTTCATCATATTTCCGACAATTTGTTGTGTGTAAATGGTGAATTAATGGACCTGAACGTTGGACATCAATGACCAGTCCGTTGGGCATTGAATCGTCCATGAACTGTCCATTTAACGTTGTATTAAAAGATAAGAACGTTGGGCATTAATTGTTGTAACGTTTCAGAAGTGCGACAGAAGACCTCCATCAGAACACCCCGGGAGGGGTTCTGATCGGAGGCCAATCAGAAGACCCCAACTCTGATCCGCGGCCATCAGAGTACCCCCAACTCTGACGGGCGGCCATCAGAATACCCCATCTCTGATGGGCGGCCATGAGGGGTTCTGCCATCAGAACACCAACGAGGTGTTCTGATCCGTAGGCTTCTGTCCGAGCACTTCTGCCGCTGGGAAAAAATTAAACGTTTCGGGAAGAAAACAAAAATTAATCGTATCTCTTGAGAGATAGATTTTTGGACGACATTCGCGTCCGCAGGTCGCCCGCGCACGCAAGTCGCGGTTTTTCTTCTCCGAATTCGGGATTTGATTTGTACCCCCCTGCGCGCGTGGAGAGAGCCTTTACCCTTAAGAATCTTAACTCCATAAGGGGGGAGTCCCTTTATAAAGGGTAGCAAATCCCTTGGGTTTTCCGGTGTGGGAAATTAACACACTAGAAACTCATCCTTTTTCCCTTCTAATGGGTAAACTTCGAAAAGCGATTTCTCATTCACCCGTTATCCGTTTTGAGCGTACCATATATCGAATTGTAGCTTTTAACAAGGACAATCCGAAACCACTTTGACCTGACCCAAATCGGAAGTGGACCCCACTCAAAAAATTGCCCCAAAATAGCCATTTAATGCAATATTTCACACATTTTTCCAACAATATCTTCAAGAGAGATTAAGATATATGAGGATGTGATATTATCTAACAATTATACAATGTGTGCACGTTGCATTGCATCAAATACTTATGTTGCAATGCATATTCGGGATTCCATGTTTGGGGGTAAGTAATATTTGTTTAAATTTTTTAGATATTTGATATGAAGGATGCATGAGGAAAGTTCATGTCCGGAATTCCGAACAGGAACCTCCGTCCGGACGGTGGCGTTTGGCCGCCTTCCAGGTAGAATTTTTTGATGAAATTTTTATGGCATGTTCTTCATTAAGTCTAGTTTATCCAAAAAAAAAATCAGCTAAAAATTCAATCGGGAAGACCATCAAATGATTTTTGGAAGATAACTGTGTTTTATATGTATATATTGGGCGCAGTTATCTTCTAAAAATCATTTCACGACCTACCCGATTGAGTTTTTAGCTGAATTGTTTTGTGGATAAACTAGACTTGATGAAGAACATTCCATAAAAATTTTATTAAAAAATGCCTCCGGGAAGGCCCCCAAAAGCAGCCGTCCGAACGCCGGTTCCGGTCAGGAATTCACCGGAAGAGTACTCAAGGATGCATATATTTAATGTTCTTGAGAAGAAGTTCTTACCTAAGGTTGTTGTGTTCCTCTTGTCTCTCTGTCACTAATCAAGAGTATTGACAGTGACATTCTGATTTTTTTTCAAAATTTTTATCTATAGTTCATCAAATTATTAAAGTTTTCTAATATAAAAACCCTGCTATTACAGGTCAAAAACCGAATAAATTGCAAAATTAATCAATTCTTCAAAATAAATATACTTACACAATACTCCGTATTTTTTAGTGCAAGAGCTAAAGTATTTGACTTATATTCTCTCTAGAATAGCAGTCCTACACTCCTACACTTACGGCATGTTTGAATGGAGTGTTGGGAGGTGTTAGTAACGAAAATGTTACTAAGTGTTCGCAGGTGTCATGAAAGGAAAGTAAGTGTAAGTGTTAAACATAATCTTGCCATGTTTGAGAGAGTTAAAAATGGAGTCTTAGTAATGGAAGTGTTTTCACTTAAAAATTCCTATCATTAGGGATGGACAGGGACCGATGGGACTTGCCCGGTACCCGCCCCGGACCGCCACTGTACGTTACTGGCCCGATCCGGTTGATCGGGGCTAGGACGAAGCCCTTGGGCCCGAACCGGGGGATTTTGGGGCGGGTTACGGGTTGCAGCCCTCTTGGAACCGACCCGGATGGTCCGGGCCCAAAAGGTTTTTATTTTATTTTTTTGAATGGATTGGGTGGTAGGACAGGTTGGGCTGGGTGGCTTGGGGTGTTTGGGGTGGAGGGTGGGGATAGGAATAAATAAGAAAAACAAAATTCAAAAGAAAAATAGAAGACCCGGCCCGGTCCTGACCCGGTCCCAGAACCTACCCGGTCCTGGCATGTATAGGGCCTCCAACTCCAAAACCCAGTCCCCCGCCCAAGGCCCTAGCTGGACCCAACCCAGGACCGTCCATCTCTAACTACCCTCACCGCCACTCTTCTCATGGAGTCATGGGAACCTTTGGCGGGAACATAACCTCCCAACATCACAGAATTGGCGATTCAATATCCTCTCATAAAGCTTCGACTTTCTCTTCTAAGGTCTAATCTAAAACTAATCTTCCAACTCTTAATTGTTGCGAAAATGTCTGACATCCCCTCTCAGCTCTACCGCCAAATACTTCTTTTCCTGCCAGCCGATTCCCTTTTCCGCTTCAGAAGTGTTTGCAAGGACTGGTGCCGTCTCATTGATGATCCATCTTTCGTCAAAGTCCACACACAAAATCAAATCTTCTCAAGCACTCTTCTCATAAAAAAAGGCTCTGGTTCACCGCCGTTTTATCTCATAAACTTTGAGTCCTTAGAATTCAAGGATGACTTGAGCGATGATGGCCAGATGATTGAAGTAATTCCAGTGAAGCAATTGGTTTGTCTTGACGTGCCTCGCTTACGGGGTCTTCCCGTGAACTCCTGCAATGGTTTGATTCTCATTTCTACTTATGACCTTAACAAGATATGGGCTGTTTGGAACCCGTTAACTCGAGACTGCCATCAGTTGCCCCTGCCCGATTGCTCTACGTTTTCTTTTGCGGCTGCAGGTATAGGCTACGATCATGTTTCTGATGACTACAAAGTTGTTAGGCTAGACACAATTTCCCGTGGTGGAAAATATGTTTGTAGAACTCTTCTTTACAGTTTAAAGTTGGGTTCTTGGAAGAGAATTAAGGATTGTCCTGATAATTTTTTTGGTCTTAATCGTGTTAATGGGGTTTGTGTGAATGGGAAATTGCACTGGTATGCATGTGAAATGATTATCACTTTAGATCTTGTCACCGAAGAATACGGTCATATCCCTATTCCTCCCGTATCCTCCTCCAAAGAGATAATTGATATGTATTTGGATGCTATTAGTGGGTTATTAATTTTGAGTTACACTTATTTCACAAGCTCGGGATGTCACTTTGATGGATGGGTGTTGCAAGAATATGGAGTAGAAAACCCTTGGGAGAAATTGCTCTCGTTTCACCTTCCCTGTTTTGAGTCACCCAAACTTGTGGCTTACATGAAGAACAAAAAGAAGGTTATTCTGCAGCGTGACGATGGTTTTTTTTGGGTCGATATTGAAAGCAATTCAGTGAAGCAGGTCGCATTTGATGACCTCATGGTCATTTCTTCTCAAGTTTGTCCTGGAAGCCTCTACCGCCTCGATGACCGTGGCAATACCAGTAAACCTGTCTCAACTTTAACAGGAGGTGTGAAGAGAAAGAGAAAACAAATCAAAAAGAGGACTATTACAAGGTCAGAACTATCACTCATTAGTCTTCATTTTTATGATGGCGTGTAAAGCTGAAAACTTATGTTTTTGCTGTTTTTGTTTATACCTAAATGTTTCAATGATAGGGAAATCTTTAAATTGCACTATAGACTCATTATGTTATGTTGCTAACTTGGAAATTTGAGACATTATACGGAGTACTATTGAATTTTCTAGCAATTATTGAGGAGAGTCTTTGTTTAGTAATTGCTAACGTTATACTTTATTTGACTCATAAATAATGTTATGTTGCATAGGACAAGTTTTCATTTATTAAAATTGCGTTTGCTGGGACATGAAATGTATTCATTTCACACGACTTGGGAATTAGGTTCTTGGACCCTCTCACGTCTTCTCACCTCCACTCTGGTTGAACCAATCATTTCCTTAGGGAAGGTTTGATTTGATGATTATGGAGGAAAGGATTTACGTTTGTTGTGCTAGATATTCTCTATTAGTACTACTCAGTTTTCATTCTTTAAGTTTTTACCACTTTCTAAAATAAGAATAATCTGATGGAGTAAATATGACCCTACCCTTCCGCCCTTTCCTCCCTCCAGAACCCCCCCCCCCCCCCCCACCAAACAAATACTTGTGATTGGTATGCATTTTCTTGGATCTGTAAAGACTGAAGAGTACTCGTCTGTTGGGACTTGGGAAGTTATGGTTGACAGATAAAAAGTTAGTTTTACACTAATTACTCATTTTTTATTTGAGTTTGCCTGCCTATTGTGAGTGTGTTCCCCTTTCATGACAACATTTTTGTTTATTGGAGTATTGGATGTCAATATTTCATGTTAAATCTGGTGGATCTCAACATTGTACAATGTACATGGGACTTTCACCAATCATTTACATGCAATGAATGATGTTTATATTTTCCTATGTGACTTTGAGAAGATGTTATTTCTGAATAGCAGGCTGAAGATCCATATAAGAAAGGGAAGTTACCGGAGTCCAGAACCTAGTTATGATTCTTCACTCGGTTCATACGAGGCTGATGAGTATTGAGTACTCCAGTCCGTCTACGTACCATGCTTATTTTAGATGGAACCTATCAATGACTTTGCAAATGAGTCTATTTTTGTTAACTTTGAAAACTTTCAGCATTTAAATTGAAGTGTTTTTGGAAATGCAATATTTTGTATTAATTATTTATTGCTCTTTTAGTTCATGCATGCTACAGCTTGCAGTAACAATTACTCCCATGTCATTTTGAAATCGCAATTTATGAAGTGTACAACGTACATACCTATGAAGAGTGTTATTTAAAGACTAAAATTTAATGGATTTAGAGAATAGTTTTTCTTACATGACAATATTATACCAGCAATAGTGATTCAAGGTTATGGCATTTTAAGTAGAAAAATGTGTTAGTAGCCATAGTAATTTTCATTGCTTCCGCAATTCTAATCGCCATAGCAATTTAAGTAGCCTCACTCCCTCCTAGCTTCGCGCCCCTCAATTCTGCTACTTTTTTTTTCTTCTGTTTTTTATGTTTGTGTGTTCTATTTGCTTAGTCTCTCTACCCTTTCTTGTACCAGCCCCACAATAATACAAACTGGCATGGAACTTGACAGTCTTGTGTTTTGACAAAGCAAACCTGAATTCTCCCATTTTACAATTATGTTCATCTAAAATGATTGTATTGATTTCAATTCGAATTAGGTATGAGTGTTTGAAAAAGTGTATACATTGTTCACACTAGAAATACCCATGTATATGTAGGGAGGCTATATGCCTAAGTTTTTAGTTTTCTCCATCTTTGTTATCCCAGGGATGTAAAATCTAGCTTACCTGAAGAACTCTAGCAGCAGAGGGAATATGATAGTATCTTTAATGCCTAATTCATAACCATTGAATTACACTATATTTGAGTAGAAATGAAGAAAATATGAAAGAATATTATATAACCATGTATTATATGAACATCATGTATATGGGGTAGTGTATATGAATTACTACGTATATCTTAAGAATCACTGGTAAAGATTACTTGAATATGAATGACGGTCTTTAAGAAAAATGCAATTTCGAACAAGTTTAGCTAGGTATTGGATTTCTTTGTTCTTTGCCCAATTCACAACTGGTTTGAATGTGTAGCCAGGGTAGGAAATCAATTTGCAATTGCTTTTGTTAAAAAGTTATATGGGTGCTCATTTTAAACACACATGTGCTCATCTTCATCCTTTATATATATACATATATCCTGCAAGCTATGCCACTTTTTAAGAATGTTATTAAGTGAGTTGAAAATATGTTATAAGCCTGGATTCGGAGATATGAAAGTACTTAAAAAATTATACTTCGTATATACTAGCGAGTGGGATAAGCCTTTCATTTTAAGGGAAACAGTCTTGATAAAAGTTCAAATGTGTAAGGACAGCGGCGGGCAACGGTGGCAGGCAGCAGGCGGTAGTCTAGAGGCAGCAATGAGAGTATTTTAATTTAATCACGAATAAAAAGTCATATTTAAAGATGTTTGAACTAATTGGTCTTGTTTTGGGGAAAAAGCTACTACGTATGTTTAAGTCCTACTAAGTTAAAATCTATTTACTAGATTTTAAACATAACATTTTTCCAAACTTGACATAAATTACTCATATTTAGAAATAAAAACTAGTGTTTTACCTAGGCGTTACCCCGGACGGATTTTGTGTTAGTTTGAATACTTAGTAAGATATATATTTCATACGGAGTATTATATATTCTGTATAAAATATTCACCATTTTACTTTAGTTAAACATCTATTCGTTGTGGATAGTAAGTTAATTAAGGGAATATATACACCGAGCATCACATTGTTAGGTTTGGGAAACTTCTCTTAGAGATATTTTATGTTGTGATTAATGTTATTTTTAATAGCTTCTTGTTGTATTCAATATAGATTAGAATAGATTAAATGGATAAAGTGCAAAGGGAATATATGGGCCACCTTGAAATTAGGGCCTAATCATCGTAAACTTATCACGGGGCGGGGCGAACCCGCCCCGCCAAGTCACGGGGCGGGTCTGGATCTTGCAGTGCCCGCCCCGCCCCGACCCGACCCATTGTCATGCCTACTTTTCATATCAATGAACATTTTTAGAGTTACGCATGCTCATCTGATACTGATCGTATGCTCGTTGTCTAAATGTCATATCAATGCATTTTTTTAAGAGAAAAGGGTCAAATAGACCCTCGAACTTACATAAAAAGGTCGAATAAGCCCTTATATAGGAGGCTCTGTCCGGCAATCGTCATTTGGGTCAGTTCCTGGTGGAATTTTTTGATGAAATTTTTTGAGCATCTTATTCATTAAATCTAGTTTACTCATACCAAATTTCAGCTAACAATTCAATCAGGAAGGCATTTGAATTCATTTGAATGCCTTCCCGATTGAAGTTTTAGCTGAAATTTGGTATTAGTAAACTAGACTTAATGAATAAGATGCTAAAAAAAATTCATCATAAAATTCCACCGGGAACCGCCCCAAATGACGACGGCTGGACAAAGCCTCCTATATAAGGGCTTATTTGACCTTCTTATGTAAGTTCGTGGGCCTATCTTGTTAAGAATTAAACTCACGCACACGAAGAACAATTAAAGAACACACGAAATTTGGTAACCCAATTCGCCATGAATGACTACGTCTGAGGGCGCTATCAAGACAGGAATTTTATTGCTATTTTCGGATTCAAGGGATTATAGACTCGCATATTGACATATAGGAGTGAATTATAGATATAATTTAATAAGTTTTTATAAAAGAAAAAAACAGGAAAAAGAAAAGGAATTAGAAGATATGAAGCAAAGATCGTGTTACTCGTTGTTAGCCTTCTAATCAATATATCAATATATAAGAGAAACTTTTTAAGAGCATACAAAGCGCCACATAATTCTGTCATGTCATTATATATATTAATTAATTATTTTTAGTTATTTTTATACCTTTACTTTTATTAGCTAGATTCTATTTTTGATTACATATTGATATGTAAACAAAATCCGTAGAAATCCACATAATTTATTGCGTTCAATATTTATGACTAACAAATAATACTATATATGAAGTACGACTATATTTTTACAAAACGTATCTCCAAATAATGAACTTTGAACTTTCGTTGTGAACATGAGCTATTTACAATTTTTTAAAAAGCACATTCTAAGATTTCTAACCAAATGAATGACGGTTATTTAATTGAAGTTGGAAATTTTTCTTAGCTTTTTTGTCAAACTTAAGAAATAATTTTATTTGTAAACATTATTAGTTTCAAAATTCGTCTTTTTGAACCATGATGGCACACGTGCACATATGTATGGACATATTTTCAAGTCCTACAAAAGACTAAAAACATTCTTCAAACTGAATGGTGGTGCAACACTATCATCCAGGCTCAGGCCATGTACAAAAGAGAAACTTTTTAAGAGAATTTGTAAGAGGGCCTTCATATTCTTGCATAGTATATATATTAATTATTTGGTTATTTTTACACCTTCTATTTTTATTAGCTATATTCTATTTTTGATTACATATTGATATGGAAACAAATTCCGTAGAAATCCACCTTAACAATTTGGTAACTTTTTCAAAACCCATTACCTATTTGATAAGTATTAAATTTTGTAATTGGAACCACAACAATTAATAACAAAATTTTAAGCACGGACTCACGGAGTAACAATCATTTAATTATTACATTCTATTAAAGAGATGAAGTATTCAATTATTTTAATGTGAATTCCTACTTTCATTTTAATAGATTTTTTTAAATTAGATTTATTTCAATTCTAGATTAAATCAAATCAAATCAGATCAGATCAAACTTTAATAATAATAATAATAATAAGTAGTAATAATAATAATAATAATAATAATAATAATAATAATAAACTGTCCTCCAAAGCCCGTGCGAATTGGGCAAATGCTCGTGCACACCGTCAGATATATTACTTAAATTTTGGGCAAATGCTCGTACATTATGTGATATATTACTTAAATTTTGGGCAAATGTGTGGGGTAAGTCACACATTATGTAATCACATATATAATCACATATTTGAATTTAACTGTCCTCCAAAGCCGGGCTTTGGAGGACACATTTAATAATGTGTGGTTTGTACGAGCTTTTAATGTGATATATTATATAGAATCTTAAATTTTGCTTCATTATACATATGCTTTTCTGAATGTGCGGGCCCGTGCGAATTGGGCAAATGCCCGTGCTTTTCTGAATGTGTGGGCCCGTCATATTATTATAATAATGAATGACTTATTTTTCTTTTAAATCACATTACATATGATTCGAAAGAAATCAAATTTTAAATTAGCTAAATTACATACTGTCCGTGCATCGCACGGGCTTGAAAGCTAGTACTCAATAAAACAGGTCAGATGCTCACTAAAAGTACACTATTGCTCATTTAGCGGAAGCCGTGATATTTCGCTTAAATTACAAAAGTGCCACACAAAAAAATTGGTTTGTTTTTGTTATTGAGTTGTCTTCGGTAAAATACATGGTACAGCCGGCTGTACCGTGCGCACGGTACAACCGGACTTTATTGGGCTTGCGCTTCTTCAATTTGAACTTTGCACCAGGTTCCTACGCTCCGACATCGCACAAAACTTCACCCCAGACTTCTTCGATTTCACTTTCTTCTTCAATCTGACTTCGCACCAGGCTCACCGTCACCGCCGTTCACCCCCTTCTCCTTCAGTCCATGCTTGTCGCCGCCTCTCAACACTCACCTCTTCTCCTCCCGCCCAAACGCAGCGGCTCCGACTCCTGCGTAGTTACCTCTCCTCCTCTGTCTTTCTTTCCTCTCTTTCTTTTTCACTTTTTGCCGACATAGTTTTGCTGTTTGAACTTCTGATTTTGGGAAACAAAGGGAGTCTAATTCATTGTTGAGAAATCATTGCTGCTATTGCTCTCAAATGAGTTTTATATCAAACTCAAATGAGTATACGCCTAAAAGAAATGAACTCACACAAATTAATGTTGAACACATTGAAAATGAGTTTTATATGAAACTCAAATTAGTATATGCCTAAAAGAAATGAACTCAACAAATTAATATTGAACTCATTGAAAATGAGTTTTTGTTAAACGCAAATGAGTATAACGCCCAAAATGAATGAGCATACACAAATGAGCTTCTGAACTTTTTTATACTCATTTTGTAAGTTATGTGTACTCATTTGATATTAGTGCAATACTCATTTTAAAATGTTATATTCATACATATTTCAAAATGAGTTTTATGTTAAACTCAAATGAGTATAACGCCCAAAAAGAATGAACACACAATTGAGTTTTTTTAATATTTTGATACTCATTTTGTAATTATGTATGCTCATTTGGTACTGTTTTATGCTCATTTTAAAAGGATGTACATGTTAAACATATCATAATTCATTTGATTCACATATTGAAATTAAATGAAATTGATTATAGACATAATTTAAGACTTTAATAAGCGAAAGGATAATAAACGCAATGTGATATACGAGGAATGAAGCAGATATCACTAATGTTCACCGTTAGGCTCCTAATACTCAAAAGAATAGAATCAATACTCATCAAAATTGACTCAATGCTCATTTAAGAGAATCCGTGTTTTTCACCAAAATTACAAGTTTGCCACCGGCTGTACGGATGGCACCGTACAGCCGGTTGTACTATATACGCTTCCGTCGTCTTCCTTAGTTGGGCCGGGTGTACATACACTCGAATGTATAATATAGGGACTCTTATTAGGGTAATTGAATATCAAAGTATTTCAAGATTCGAAGTACATAAAAATTTATAAGCTACATAATTGATGTATTATTAGACTTTCAAAGCAAAACTAACTGTTAAGACTCGGGGTTCCAGCCTAAAAGGTCAATTTGATAGGAGGAGTAGTCCAAAGCCTTATATAGTGTTTAATTGTTTTATAACTTTTCGGTGTGAGACAAATGCTTTAACACTAACGTATTATTCTTTTAGTGAATATTTGGGGGAATAAATTTTATATCTAGGTTAAAGGGATTTTCACTTTTTTATTTTTTATTTTTTCGAACTTTTGATTTTTTCTTAATAGGCCCACTAAATGGACATATGTGTATATATATACACATACATACATATATATATTCAGGCTTCAGACCAGGCCAAACTTTTTGACATTCTGGATATGTAGAATTTTTTACAAATAATTTCAAAATATTGACTATGTCATTTTGAAAATATTTTCAAAATAAAAAAAAGGATGACACCCCATTCCTGAGGGCCCCCAACACCGACCGGACAACACGATGAGAGGATGTAAGTTGGACTATAATCACAACTTGACAGATAGAGAGTGTGACTCTATCCCCACTTGTAGATGATAGTTTTTTTGAAAATATTTTCAAAATAACATGATCTGTATTAGTTATTGGGTTGAGCTGGCCTATAAATAGGCACTCGAATAAGGGGAAGGGGACAAGATGTGTTCTTGTGGCGGCAGCGGCATCGGCATTGGCATCCTCATTAGGTTTCGTTTAGAGCGGCCATAAAATCATTCGCCGCCTTCCGGTGATAAGATGAGATTTTTTCAGGACCAGCCCTGAAGATGATGACAACTGCATGCGAAAGCCGGAAGAAGCAAACCCGAGAAGAAGACGCTCCAGAAGGAATCCACAATTTGACAGATGATTTGCTGACGGAAATACTCCTGAGATTAAGCAGAAGGCAAGCTCTTCAGTACCGACTGGTTTGCAAGGGCTGGTATTCAATCATCTCTTCTCCGCGCTTCACCCGCCTTAGCAATCTAAGGCTTGGATTTCCGATCAACTTGGTCTTCCAAACCCCTGGTAATTTGCCGATTCCTAAAACATCCGCACTCCGCTCAATCTTATTGCGCAGCGCCTACCGCGTGAATCGTGAATTCGGATTTGACTTTCTCCCTGATCCGAATGTTCGATTGGTAGGTTCATCTGCGAATTTCATGCTCTGTGCTCGCAGGATTCCTGGTGGCTGGTGCCCATTATTATGTCTGCAATCCTGTAAAGGAACAATGGATTTCTCTCCCTCCTGCTCCACCCGTCCCACGGTGTGTTTTCTGTGCCGCAGGCCTTCTGAATGCAGAAGCAATCAAGCAGCAGAAGGCGTCAAGGGTTCTTCTCACACCAAGTTCATGGTGCTGAGGTTCCTCACCCCCAAGTCTAATCATTCCGGCTCAACTCATTTTAAAGCCTTGGTCCTTTCCTCAGAGGATCTGGAATGGAGGGCATTGGATGTTTCAAGACCTCCCACAGTGAGATACTACTCTTGCAAGACCCCTCTTGTTGCATATCGAGGCGCTCTGCATAAGCTATACAATGAAATCATAATGGTGTATGATCCCTTTAACAGTCCTCACGCGATCTCTCGCATCATCCATCTGCCTTTCCTCCTCCCTCACGGCTTCAGCATTGGTTTAACTTGTTGCTTTGGAGTGTTCAGGGGGCGTCTGCGTATAGCTAGAGTTTGTTCCGAGAGCCATGGCGTTTCAGGAGTAGATCCCGCTATCGAAATTTGGGAACTCGGGGACTATAACTCAGGGCTATGGAATTTGGTTCAAAAGGTTCACCTTAAAGGGCTGTCTGTTGGAACTTTCCCTCTTGTAAAAGGAAATAAGGTCAAGCCTTGGTTGAGAGTATTGTATTTTCATCCCTTAATGGATCATGTGCTTTATTTGGGGATGCAAACAAGAGGGCTAGAAACTCATGTCATCCACTTTGACATTAAAACCAGAAAGCTGCGGCGCCTAATGAAGAATATATGTAGCATTCTGCCTTCACTCCGGTGGACTAAAATCTTTCGCTATTCTTCGTAGCAAGCTCTTTTTCTTTTTTATTATAACTAGGGTAGAAAGAATATAAGTTATTTAGGGGTGTTTGGATCTGATTCTTAAAACTGCTTCTGCTTCTTCAAGGACTAGAATCAGAAGCTGGAATGTTTGGGTGAAAGTGCAGAAGTGATTCTAGTGCTCTAATTTACTCCCAGAATCAGTTTTTTTAGAAGCTGGGGGAGACCAGCTTCTGAAAACTGATTCTGCTTCTGCTTTAAAAAAGAAGTAGAAGCAGAATCAGTTCCAAACACCCCTTATATAGCTATACTTCATACGAAGTACTATATAAAATAGCTATTGAATTGTTTTTTTAAATCTCCCTCACTATTTTTCATACTTTTTCGACACTATCATTACCTCTATTTATTTTGAATATGACTTATGAAACAGATGTTCTGAAACATCATTGGGGATTCTGGGTTCTTTTGATTTGTAATGGAATACAAATGAAGTGTAGAAAATATTTCTTCACACAATAGTACACATTATTGAAGTCTAAGTAAATATTACTTTGAAAATAAAACATACACCTAAGTATATATTACGTATTTTGAAAATAAAAGATAAATAATCCAGTTGCGAGTCATTCTTGTTTTACACCTATTATTTGCATAGTGAATGAAATTATTAGCTTGGTTGATTATAATTGCAATCACATGCAACTTCATAATATTTAATGACTAAAAGAGCCTAATTCTGAGAAGAAAAATACACAATCCTATTTTATGACTTTATATATGTTTCTCTCCTATTTTTCATTTTTTTTAGTTTATTGAATATTAGTAAGGTATACACAAAATAACCAGTATGAGTTACGCACAATAGAAACAAATAATTTCAATTAAAAAATTGAAACATTTATAGGTTTAAATGGTTCACCTTGAAGGGTCTGTCTTTTTTATCTTCCTCTATTGTTCAAGGAAATAAGCTAAGGTCTCTATTTTCATCTCGAAAAGAACAAGTGCTTTATTTGGGAATTTTAGAAGGAAGGCTAGGTACTGTCCTCCGCTTTAACATTGAACCCTTTAAGTTGTGATGTGTAATGAAGATAGGGACTGCGCCTTCACTTAGGTAGACCCGAATTTTTTTCTATACTTTTTCTTGTTATTTTTATGCTAATGTATGAGTCATTCTTTTCTTATTTCATTTGGTTATTGCGTGCATACTCCCATCTCAACTTGGGACATAATTTTAGTGAATCCAATAATCCATAATCCAACAACAGAACTACAGAAGGGCCAACAAATAAAAATACGTACCCATCAACTGCTGGGAGATAAATAAATAAATAAATAAAATATATAAATGGTCGGGATTATTTGTTGACTTGAGCGAAGAATGTCCTGCGTCTCCTAAATGTTCGTGCAGTTTATTACTGGATTTAATTATTCAAATTCATCTCCACATATTTTACATGCATTGTCTGATCGTGTTGATGTTGTCTTTCCTTTCCTGCCTTTGGAAACATACTTTGACCAATAGTATTCACTAAGCTGAAGTTACTTACTCTCATGTTGAAATCATATCGACATATTTTGCATTGGCATAACCGTACATCAATATGGAAGTATTAATATCATAGATGATAACATTTTTCAGACATGATAGTAACTGTTCAACCTTTCTTGACGAATCATCTTCTTAGCCATCTTAGCCTTAGTTCTGGGTGAAACCTACAATGAAGAATTGATGATGAACTCTGGAATCTGTTTTTTTCATCAGCTGTAGCATTTGTCATTTTGTTGCTTTAGCATCCTTACTATCTAAGTTTTCATCACAAAGAGTATTTCCCCCTGCTTTCTCTTGTCACCACATTTGATCTTAGAATGGTGACTGGAGAGAACACTCTTTCTACTTCTGTGTCCAGATGCCACAGCCTCAAGAACATTCAGAAGTGCATTTTGTTAGTGTTGTTGTTCCATTGACATTTGCTTCTTCTAACACTTTGTGCTCACAATTAAGGCTTCTCTTAATGTTGCAACTTTTTTCCTTAAGGTTCTTAGACTGCTCATTTCTCTTCAATTGCATATCACTTACCCTCTTCATAAGCCCTGCCTGTCCTCTAACAGTCGATCTCATTGTACTGATTAGCCCATCAGAAACCATAGCCAAGAGTTATAGAACGATGTCACTTGAGCATGAGGCTGGACTACTCATATTCCCCATAAACGGAGCTTCTTTGGAGAGATTAGACCCAACTCCTTAGCAAAATTCAACTAATTTTGATAAATTTTATCCAATACACCTTGTAGAATCCCTTGCCTGTGTCTGAAAAATCCAAACAAACAGAAGTTGAGAGGAAGAAGAAGAGTTGATGGGGCCAGAACATGAACAATATCGTGGGTCAGAGAGGACTTCTCAATGTTGGAGGTATTGGTCCTACCAAGGCCTCCCTGCCACTTTATTATTTAGGCTTGCACCCCATGTTTACTCCCACTTTGATTCCCTGAGTTGAAATCACTCATTGGTGGCATGTTGACTTATTTGGAGTATACCCCACCTCTGTCCGCTGCTCCTTATTTTTTGCCTTGCTTATACCCGTGAGCTGTTGTTGTCTTGGCTACACCCGTGAGTGTCCTGTTGTTATGCCCGTGACTTCTCAATAGGCTGACTGCCTATTATAAAGTCAGCTCCTTTCCTTCTTTGTGAGATAAGCCTGCGAGAAGAATACTCCTTGTGCAGTGTCTTCCTTCTTCCTTTCCCTTTGTGTGAGAGTTCCTTAGTGGAGTGAAGAAGAGTGAGTAAACATGGGAGATGGAGTGGCCTAGTCTAGAGTGGTGTGTGTGAGTTTAGTGTAGAAGGTTGGAGACCTGAGTCGGAGACGGAAGAAATTAATACCTTACAGTGGTATCAGAGATGGTTCGCCGTCTGCCGCCGCCCTACGCCACCGCCGACCGACGTTGCCGCCGATTGGAGCTCGCCGGACGCCCCTGAAGCACCACCTGAGGTTCTTAGTCATTCTCTGCCTGGCTTCGATTCTGGAGACCTTAGACCAGAATCATCGCTTGCTGCGTAGGAGTCACCGCCTGGAAATCCGTCCGCAGCTGGAGCCGTCGTTGCCGGAACGAAGCTCGCCGTCCGGAGAAAGCTCGCCGCTCGCCACCACCGGCTGCCTGCCGTCGTTCTTTCCCCGCCGTCACTGAACTACCGTTCGTCGCTAGAGAGCTCCGCCATCGAGGTCGCAACTCGTTTGGTGTGAATCGTTGTTGTTCGCAGAATCCCAGGAGCCGGCAAGGACGAAGAAGACTTCTTCGTTAATCCTGGTCCACTTGAGTTGCTGCAGGGGGCTGGGCTGACTGGGCTTTTGGGCCTATTTTTTGGGCCACTAGAGCTGCTGTTGTGGCTGACTGAAGCTGGAAGCTGGACCGAGACTGACTTTGTGAAGGACAAAGTTGGAGCTGGACTGGAGCTGGGGTGCTGGGCTGGATCGTGGACCGGGCTGGAGCTGCTGGACGTCGGTCAACCGCCGCCGGTCAACGCCGGTCAACGCCGGTCAACGGTAGTCAACCCTCCAGAAAAATCCCAAATTTTTTAAAATTTGGGTAGGTAAGGTCGAAACGCTCTCCTAGGGTTTCGCGAAGGTGAGTTTTCGAGTAATGTTTTTTGTTTTATTCCGGTTTTAATTTAATTTAATTTAATTCCCCCTCCCCGCGGGCTGCCGGTTGATTTAATCCCGGCCGCCAACCCCCCAGGTACGTTCTAAACTTTCTCCTTTGTGGTAGACTGTTTTAGTTAATTAATTAAATTGTTTTGTGTTATTTAAATTAATTGTTATGCATAGGGGTGGTTTATTGGGTGGTAGGGGTAGAATTAATTAAATTTATTTTTTCTGCCTGGAATTGTTTAAATTGCCAAAATGTCCATTTTTTTGCTATGTGTTGCATGCTGCCCGGGGTTATTAAAGTGAATACTTTATAACCCGGGTTGGATTATTTTCTGTCATCTCTATCTGTTTAGCTTTGTGTTCCTTTGTGGTTGATACCATGGCTGCAAATCAGTATGGTATGCTTCCATTTAATGGAAAAACAGATTTTGATATTTGGAAACAGAAAATTAAGTGTGTTTTAATACAGCAAAAAGTTTTCAGAGCTGTCACTGGTATTTTCCTAGAATCAGAAGATAAGGCTAAGCAAATTGAAATGAACGAAACTGCTTGTTCTACTATTTACTTGAATCTGTCTGATTCTGTGCTTAGGAAAGTAGGTATTCTTGAGTCTGCTAAGGAGTTGTGGGAGAAATTGGATAGTCTCTATACTGATACCTCTTTGCCCGGGAAGTTGTTCTTACTAGAGAAATTCTTTAGGTTTAGGCTTGACCTGACTAAGGATATAGATGAGAACCTGGATGTGTTTAATAAACTGATACAGAATATCAAACAGGCAGGTGATAAACACATAGATGATTACACTCCCATAGTATTACTTAATGCCATTCCCGACTCTTATAATGATGTTAAGTCCGCTATTAAGTACGGTAGGGATGAGATTTCATTAGACATTGTGGTGAATGGGTTAAGGAGTAAGGAATTAGACCTGAAGCATGCTAGGGGTAGTGCTAGTCAGTCCAGGGACTCCGGTGAGGCTATGTTTGTTAGGGGTAGATCTAAGGGTAGGTCTAAGAATCCTAAGCAAAATAGTCAGGGTAAGAACGCTAGTCAGCCTGGGAGGAAGAGGAGCAAATCTAGGAAGAGAGTGTGTTACAATTGTGGTAACACTGGCCATTTCATTAAGGATTGCCCCCACCCTAAGAAGACCGAGCATGCTAGTGTAGCTGTTGATAAATGTGACCTTGGTGATATTTTGATGGTTTGTGACCATGTTAATTCTGTGAGAAATTCCCTGTCTGAGCATGAATGGTTGATTGACTCTGGTTGTACCTATCACATGTCCCCCTTTAGAGATTTATTTTCTACTTATGAATTATGTGATAGTGGCTACGTTTCCTTAGCTGATAATAAGAGATGCAATGTGCTTGGTGTTGGTGATATATGTCTGAAGTTTTCTTGTGGCTCTGTGTTTACCATTAAGAATGTGAGGCATGTCCCTGATTTGTGTCATAACTTGTTATCTGTTGCTGCTTTGGAGAGTAGTGGGTTACAGGGAAAATGGGGGAATGGTTGTATGAAAATCCTGAAAAACTCGCTTGTTTTGTTTAAAGCTGAGAAGGTGAATAACCTTTATGTGTGTCATGCTAAACCTTTTGCTGAGTCTGTGAATGTTGTATGTTATGATAAGACCTCTTTGTGGCATAATAGGCTAGGACATATGAGCAATAAGGGTTTAGATGTCATGCGTAGGGCTGGTTATTTTGGTAAGGACTCTGTGACTTCTGTGCCTTTCTGTGAATCATGTGTGTTGGGCAAGCAGCATAGAGTCAGTTTCCCTCCTTCCTCTTACCCTAATCTGTCTAAGTGTTTGTCTGTGCTTGAATATGTTCATGCTGATGTTTGGGGTCCTGCCAGTGTT